CATCTTCTACTCTTAAAATTAGTAATAGCTGACTTTTCTGGAGGCAATCCCCTGTGGATCCTTAATTTCTATCTTTCCTGACAATTTTAAAAACATTGGAGTAAAAAAACACTGCTAGAAGTTTCTCAGAGTATAAACTGCAAAATAGCACAGCCAGATTGTCATGAAACACCTCATTTACCACACTTACAACCTGTGCATCCATCTCACTTGTTAGCACCATTCATTAGAAGCATTCACAGTGCTGTCAAGAAGTCTTACTGTTCTTTATGTTGGCACAAGCTGCTTCCCTCGTTTCTGTGGCAACGTCACCTCTTGTACACACGGGAAAAGTCACGTTCTCACACTATTTGCTGTACTTTAAGCCAGTATCTGAACACACTTCATTCTCTGGCTAGAAACATGGAGGAGAGATTCAGCATTACCCCAGGAGCCAGCACATGATGTCTCTGTTACGGAAACTATGCCTTGAAGCACCAGCAAAACTGGAGAGGGGCACCACAGACAGCACCAGCCATCCTACACCAGGTTTTTTCTTTTCTATAGTTGTAAGGCCAGGGAGCTACTTGAATACAGTTCTTTCAGTAATAAATTTATAGACAAGATATTTTATCTCCACAGGAGTGATCGCCAGCCATATCAGCCATTTCCCAGCAGGCAATAACCTACCTAGAGAATCAAGGGCCAAAGGCAAATCTAGCCAGTCCCCAGCAGTCAGGAGATGTCCATTCCAGACACAGAATCACAGAATGGTTTGGGTAGAAGGGACCCTAAAGATAATCTAGTTCCTACCCTCCTGCCTTGGGCAGGGACACCTTCCAATGGCTCAAAGTCCCATCTAGCCTGGCCTTGAATACTTCCAGGGAAGGGACATTCACAACTTCTCTGTTCCAGTGCCTCACTACCCTCACTTGGAAGAATTTCTTCCTCATATCTAATCTAAACCTATGCCCTTTCAGTTTGAAGCCATTCCCCCTTGACCTATCACTCCATGCCTTTGTAAAAGGTCCCTCTCCATCTCCCTTGTAGGCCCCTTTTACATACTTGGAAGGTGCTTTAAGGTCTCTCAGGAGTCTTCTCTTCTCCAGGCTGAACAACCCCAGTCTGCCTTCATAGGACAAGAGTACCAGCCCTCTGATCTTCTTTTTGGCCCTCCTCCAGACTCCTTCTAACAGGTCCCTGTCTTTGAATCATGAATGTCACTACAAATCAAGACAAATTATTAGCTGAAAGAAATTAACATAATTGATGTCTTATTCCATTTCTTTCCCTTTAATGTTTTTCTAAGTCATTTCCTAGCTATTAAAGATTGACCTACTAATTGCTGACAGAACAAAGCAGAGCCTGCATAGTGTAACACAGATTAAATTTTCAGCCAGTCATGCAGTTACCATCTTTCTTTTGGATGACGGCACTTTTCAGTATCAAGGCTTTAGTGTGCCATCTGGTGGATTTTCAGCACTTGGTACACTTTGTTGAAGTACAAAACCTGAGATAGAGAGATTCCTGATATACTGACAGGAGTATCTACCTTCTTTGGCCAATGACAGTATTCATCTTAACAACTTGTATTTGCTCAAATTAGATGTTTGCCTGACAGCAATAATTTAATTCCTCTCCCATTTCCGTCTAATGAGCTTTTACTACTGTAACTATTGTTAACTTTAGCTAATCCTTTACACTGATCAATTTTATACATAACTGAATGATGACTCTCTCAAAATAACTTACACAAAACTAGCCCAACAGAATTCCACATTTAGGACCACGAGCTGAGACCCTCCATGACATTTAGATGCTTAATTCTTGATGACCAAACATGCTAGGATTAGTCTCTGTTTGAGATGAGGGTCAAAGATACTGAAGCAAATCTGTCCCATACAACTTCAAACAAAACCGAGTTTGAGTACTGATTCCTCATTCTAAGTATGACAGCAACAACTGTCATTAAAAATACTGTAGGTTTAAAAAAAGAAAAATGTGAAGCCAGCTAAACCATTTGAAAAAAAATTTAGAGCACAAGTTTGTACTGTATCCAAGCTTTCTATGCAACTGAGGTATTTCTTCATTTCTCTTTTTTATAAAGCACATGTCATGCAATAAGGAACCTGGGATGGATTCAATTTCAAAATACAGAGTCCTTCGGGCACACAGTCCTAGTGGGGAGTGCGTCTCCCACTCCAGCACACGCTGCCACTCAGCATGAGATGCAGTATATTCTGCCACAGCTAAGACCTCCAGGATTTTAATGCTGGATGCAGGCTGCCCTCTAAATGAATGAGTTGCAGCTGCTACAACAGACCATCAATGGGCAATTGGGTGAACTTTCTACTCCACATACAATGTCAATCCATAAACCTGGATAGAAGATGGCAATGACTGCACGGAAAGAAAAGACCATCTGGAGGTGCTGAATTTGTGGTTGTAAATGAGTCTGCTTACTGGAGTCTGGCCTTCCTTTCACAGAGAAAACAAGAATAAACACATAAAACAAAAAGGAAAAGAACAGCAGTGATTCCAAATGTAGCTTTTGGGTTTGGTCCCTATTGTTACTGGCAATCTGACCCCTAGAGACAAACAGGCTCAGCACAGTCTTATCAGTCACTGTAAGACTTGGCAAACATACCAATGGCTATGCTGTTTTAGACATTTATTTTAGCTGCCTTTTCAGACACAGGTTCACGGCAGTGCTGCTGAAAGGTCATCCAAGACAGACTTTCTAAGCTGAAAACTAACATCAAGAAGTGAAAAGATATACGATTAGGGAAGAAAAAGAAGACAAGAAATCAACACAGGGAATGAAGAGGATTTAAGTGTTATGGTCCAGAGGGTTTCAAGAACTGATCTATGGCTGGGCAGGTGGCAGCTGGACTGAGATGCCTGTCTTTCATCAGAACATCTTTTACAATCAGGTAATGAAAGGCTAAGTCATACTATGGGTCTGAAGTCTCTAAAAGACTGCAAGACAACACTGCTTTTGGAACACATAGGCTATCTTGCATCAGCAAGCAAAGTGACCTGGCAGGTGTGGACTCACAGAGAAAAACAGCTTGTACTGTGGTCAGCTATCTACAGTAAAAGAATTCCAAGGCGGCTATTTTGAATTAGCTCTGGCCTACCACATAGCCTTAAGGACCATTAGGATTTAAAGCTCCTTCTCCAAATTACTTTAGCCTGACAGCAAATGTGGAGGTCGCAAGAGCACTATGCAATGAAGACCAAGCACAGCAGAACGGATGAATGAAGATTAGAAAGTACAGTTCATGGAGATAACCTTGGACTGCTGCAGGCCCAGAGAGAGCCTTTACAGCATCACGTTGTCCAACCTGACTACAGGATGAAAGACAAAAGTCCACATTTTTGTTCATGTTGCCTTTCCATCTTATTCTCAGTTTTTTATTTTAAGAGCAGATGTAGGGTTTTATTATCCTGGATAACACTGAATAGAGCCCTTAGTGCATTATATGTTCTCACTGTAAACTAAATCCACTCATAAATAAGAGTTATAAAACATATATTTCTTTTAGGAATAGAAGTGCACGCAGTTATTGAAAGCACATTGCAAGGTTTAAATATGATCCGAATAGATGAAACAAAAAATACAGATATTTCTTCCACAAAGCTGAGAGTGTATAATATACAATTAATTTCAACAGATAGTAAATACCTTGGAGGACTAAAGCCACAAAGGAATACAGATTACAGTAGTTCAAGACATTTTCAATTTTGCAAGTTCGATATGACATCTGAAAGCCATTTTTATGTCAGTTCTTTCACACTAATCCAACTTTACTTGCAGTAAAGTACTGCAAATTATACCATTTATTTTACTTATGAAAACTAACCATGTCCTGTCTTCACAGCACATTCAGTAAAAGAAAACCTGCCGGTGATGTAGTATTTCAGTAGTTTCAGAAGCTTTTGCATCACTTAATGTTTTATAGGGAAGTCAACGATTTCTGGTATCTGACTAAAGCTTGTTTTCACAGAACACTGTTTCTGAGGCTTCCACAGCATAAAAGGAATTTTAATACATATAATTAAACTGATATATCAAAAACTTCTTTTTATAACTCCCCATGTGGATTTAATCACTATGAAAGTGTACATTCCTGAAACAAATTAAGCTGATACAAATTAAGATTTGAATCAATGAGATTTAAAACCTTTCAAGTTTTTTGCACCAGCTCAGTTAAATCAGTTTAAAACCTTAGGGCAATACTGTGCACCTTTGCATGTACGTAAAATCTGACTTTTCTGGACGAAGTCTTTACTAACTAACAACAAATCCCATCAGCTACAAGAGGACAAGGTTTTTATTTGTAGTACTGCAGCTCATTCAGTAGGTCATTGCAGCGATCAGTGCACTGGCAACCCTTTTTGTGATTTTTTGTAAGTTTTATCTTTTTCCTTCTTTTGTCTTCTAGTCTGTGGTTAATCAAAGATTATTTTACTTGTGAAAACTATCCATGTCCTATCTTCACAGTATGCTCAATCAAAGAAACCCTCTGGTGATGTAGTATTTAAGTAGCTTCAAAGGCTTTTGCATCACTTGAAGTGATGAGAAGATCTCTTAATTTCTACAAGTGAATTTCTCATTATACGCAGTAAGTAGACCCGGGCTCTAGAAACAGGAAACAAATTCTGTGTTCTTAAAACTGCCACGTAAGAAGAACGCCACTTAAGGTAATTTGTCATTGCGCCTTTTGTCCAAATCACCAGATGTTCAATTTAAATATGCGATGACATCGTTAACACACATCCTGTCCAAACTACCAGACGTTTGATTTCGGTTCACGGGGCACACGGAAGCAAAAACCGGCTGAAAAGCGCAAACAGCTGACGCCGATGGGGGGGCTCATCCCGCAGAGGCACGACCCGGGACACCGGAGCGGACACGCGTGGATGGCGGGACGAGGCGGGGCAGCCCTCGGAAGTTCGTCACTGCCCGCGGCCGGGCCCCGCCGGATGGAGGGCTGGATGGCGCCTGACGCCATCGCGGGGCGCCGCCCGAGCCGCCCGCAGCATGGCCGTGCCGCGGGAGCCGCCGCCGCCGCCCGCCCCGGCGCTGCCGCCCGGCCCTGCCCCCGCCGCCGCCGCCCCGACCTTCGCCGCGGCCCGCGGGCTCGTGGGGCGCCGCTACTCGTGCCTGGTGGTGGCCCCGCACCGCAGGCACGTGGCGCTCCCGCCGCGCTTCCTGGGCCGCAAGCGCTCCGGCATCCGCGCCCAGCTGGACGCGGAGCTGCTGCGATACTCGGAGAGGTGCGGGCGGGCTGGCGGGGGGCGCTGGGGGGAGAGCTGTGTCCGCACTAACAGCTAACGCTGCCCGCCCCTCCTTCCCCTTCCAGCCTTCAGGGTGTGCCCGTGGCTTACGACAACATCAAAGTGGTGGGTGAGCTCGGCGACATCTACGACGACCAGGGCTTCATCCACCTCAACATCGAGGCGGACTTCGTCATCTTCAGTCCCAAGAAGGGGAAAAAGCTGGTGGTATGTGCATGCCTTGGTCTCTCACGGAGCGTTTGTTTTTCTTTTTAATTAGGCAGTCAAAGCTTGATTTATCTCTAGCATCAGATTGTCTGGAGCTTAGGTGGAGATATATTTTATTCGTGTATGACTAGTTAATAGCAATTTATTACATCTGGTAGCAATAGTTTTTATTTCATCTATCTGTACTGTCCATCCCTAAATTTGTTAAATTATGTATACTATATATTAGCCAAAGCATTGTAGCAGTAGTTTTTATTTAACCTGTCTATACTATCTGTCCACAAATTTGTTAAATTTATGTATAATTATATATTACCTAAAACATCGTAGCATAAGGATTACATATTAAATAGTGTGTCATAATTGTGTATGTCATATCGATGCTTCTTTCTGAAGAGCCCATAATTCTCAAACAGGTGTATCTGTTATATTGACAAGAATGTTTAGAATATTCTCATGAGTTTAGTTCCTTCATTTTCAGGAGAAGCTTGCCTTCAATAAAAGGAGATGTATGGCTTACAGAACAGCTTTTAGCTTGTTAATAGGCTTGCAACAAGGGGAAAACTGAGTTGAGAGTTGGCTTACATTCTGTTGTGCCATACCTCTTGAAGCATAGTTTGTGTCTTTCTAAATGAAGAAAATGAAAACATTTTCGGTGTACGTCATTCATTCTTAGGCAAAACAAAGGTGAATATCGTTTCACATGCAGATGTGTCAGAAGCCCACTAAATGGAGTATTTTAAATCTTCTTGTGTGTCTTCTGTATCTTCAGCTGCTAACTAGTGCTGTGCCAGCCTGAAAACCTTTACAGGAAACTAAATCAGGCTTAAAATGGCTTCAAATCAAAGCTGATCCCTATAGTGTGAGGAAAGACTTACCTGCTCTATTCAGGTACTCACTGTGGCTAGATCCCATGTTTGGACTTTCTTTCTCTTGCAGTTCCTTTTTCAGAGGAAGAGTATACAGAAATAGTCTTGATTTTAGTGAGAGCTTATTTGCGCAATAAACTGACTTCATAACTTGTGCATAAACTTTTGTTGAAAAATGTCCATAGAGGAACCTAAATATATATTGTGTGCATTTAAAGGGCTGATCTTTGGTTGTATCTTCAGATGACATTCTTTTTCTTTTTTAGGGTATAATTAATAAAGTGGCCCCTAGTCATATTGGCTGCCTGATCCATGGATGCTTCAATGCATCTATCCCTAAGCCTGAACAAATGTCAGTTGTACAATGGCAAGAGCTGGGGTTAAAAATAGGGGATGAACTGAAATTTCAAGTGTTGCACTTGGATTCTGATGCAGCTGGGGTGTTCTTCATTCGAGGAGGACTCACTAAAAAAAGGTATTGTGCCCTGATAGAAAATATTTTTAGCTGTTTTAATAGGTTTGTTACAAACTAAATTATTTTAATTATATCTTAATCTTTAAGCTTTTTTATTTTTGCACAAACCCATGTCTGTGTGTAATCTGCATTGGTTATTTTAAACTGAACTTCCACTGTTAAGAACTCGCATGGATTTTTTCTCTGGAAAAAATAAAACTAGATTTTTTTTAAGCTTTAAAAAATGCATCACCTTCCTTCTTAGGCCTCTGTAAATTTTTAGGGCAGCTTGTGAAAAATCTTGTCTTTAAAAGAGTTCATTCAGACTTTTTTTAAAAGAGTCATTTGCTGAGCAGTGTTTTTCTGCCAGCATGGTTGTGTTCTTAATTAAATGTACAGTATGACTGCCACTCAGAAATCCATAATATTTTTTGTATGGTTTTCCTTTTCTAATGTGGAAGGATGCTCTGGATTGTTTCAGTGAATTTACAATGATATTTTATTATTTTGTCCTCAGTGCCTTTTGGGACATCTCCTCTTCCATGGTTTTAAACTGCATTCTTTGCATATTTGTCTTCCTAGACATTTTCTCCAGTGCTCTGAGTTGCAGGATACCAGCTGGCTTTGTTGTTTGTTTGTTTTTTTCTTGTTTTGTTTGGTTCTTTTAGTTTTCTGGTGTCACCTTTGTTTCAGTTGTTTAGAGCAATTATCAATTCCTTGGTAAAATCAGAAGTGTGTCCATGTATGATTCAATAGGCCATTTGCTGTGTCTATTTGCGATTGACTTAAAAAACCAAAAAAGCTTTACTATGTGGGGGGATGAAAAAGGAAGTATTAAATGGCCTGTACAGTGTTTTAGAGAAGAAATTTAGGCTGAGATTTGAAAGAATATTCATTATGTGGTTAGAAGGCAGCTAGTAAGGTAATAGAAATTACCCTGAAAATATTAAACTGGCTTTATAGTTTTGTGTAACTAGAGTATCATGCTCTCCATTTGTTGTTGGTTTTAGCAAATTTTTCCCTTTTGTCTACTTGGTGTAAATACTGCACTTTAGCAAATTTTGAGATTCTGCTGTGTGAGGTGCGCTAACATGTCTCTAATTCATTTTATTTTGTGAATTTCTTTTACAGCATGCGGCCCAAACGATCTGAGACCGTCACTGAGAGTACAAATGGGAATGAAATTCAAAACCTTGATCACCAGGAAAATGGCCTGAATGACTGTGGGGAAGACAATATAACAGAAGAGCCTTTAAATGAGACAAATAACCCTGGGAGGGAAAATGAAGAAGGGCAAAGTGTTGATGCTGTGAACGGGTTATGTGATGAAACAGGCAAGAAGAAAAAGAAGAAGAAAAAGGACAAGCGAGAAGAACAGGAACATGTATTGCCTGCCAGTGACTCCAGTGGTTACCAAAGTGACCATAAAAAGTCAAAGAAAAAGAAAAGAAAGCATTGTGAAGTTGAAGAAAGTGAATTATCTCAGCTGTCAGAAAACCCCAAGGCTAAAAAGAAAAGGGACTAAAGCTTGAAGTGCCTTTCCTGAATTAGATTTCAGACATTTTTCTTAAGTTCCAATAAAACCCTGTTTTCAAAATACATATGTGTATTTCTTTACTAAACAGTCTGCTCTGCAAGGCTGGATGATGTTTGCATGCCTATGTCCAGCAGCAGCTTGAAAGGCAGGAGCTTTCAAAGAATTGATAGAAGAAATGGGATAGAAGCAGTATCTGCCTTTTTTATTTATTGAAAAACAAGACACAAAAGAAACATGGAATGTGATTACAGGAACACATTCATCACCTCTGTGTCTACTTTCCAGTTCCACGCATTAGCCAGTAGGTAGTTGTGATGTTTGCTACTCTGATTCCATCTTTGCCACTCGGTGTCTTGATTTTATGAGAGTAAGATTAGGATTACCTTTGGGGTTTTGGGAAATATATGTGAATTCCCAGGGGTTGAGGTTTATTTTTTTAAATTGTAGTAAGGGACCATGAATGCCTGGGAATGAAACTGTAGTTTGACTCCCACCTTGTTTTAGTTGCAACTTTCAAATATTGCTCTCTAGAGTAAGAGGTACCTACTGTCAGTTTTTTCCATACTGTTGGAATTAATGTTAGTGGAAAGTTCTGACAATGAGAAAATGATAGTCAAACATTAATAAATGAGCCTTTATGAAGACCTAATTTTCCTGGTGTAGATGTATAATATTTTTTTGAGTAAGTACCTTTGGTTGCAGCTCTTTTCTATTGTGAGGAGTTCTGGGGAGAACTATAGTGTGACATGGTCTAGATCTAAGTCTTTAACCGAGGTAGAAGGCAATGATTACTTTGGTATTGATTGAACTATTACAAGAAGAACATAACTGGCTCTTAGGAAGCCTTGTAAACAATAAATAAACAACGTGAATGTGGGAACAGCAAGTTTCATCTCTCTGTTTCTAAGTGACAAAACATTTTCCTGTAGTAATTAATACTGATGCTATTTGCTCACTTTAATAGATACGTATACAGCCTCTAACAACGTGTCCACATCGAACATGTTCTGAATTTGAGGTGTGACAATGCTTGTTTTAGGCCTCACTCTTTGCTATATTAATGTCTTTTATGCATCTTTAAAGCTCCAAATTTACCAAGACAAATCAGGGTTACTATCTTACAGGCTTGATGGCCTGGCAATACATAGTAGGCATTTTAGAGTTATGACACCAATGAAGAACCAAGTTAAGACTTTTCAGTTTGAAGACTTGTAGGAAGGTAAGCTAATGGTAGCAGAAACTTCATTTTATCCTCTTTTGCTCTTCAGAGTACTTGATCTTGAAGCCAGTTTCTGGACTGTCCTGAGATGAACAGGAATTGTCCCTGTTGTATTTCTACATATGATGATACTGACACCTGATCTACGTGCAGTTTTAGGGATACTGGCTCATGTATATAATCTTCCTACACTGTGACAAAATCTGAGAAGTCATATGATGTTTGTAATGTATTTGTTACAGCACAGGGCAGTATTCTAGTGTGTTAAGTGATGCAGAGAATAACACAGAAGTCGGGACTTAATGCACTCTAGATACAGAGGACAAGCTGAAGGTTTGGGCATAATTTACAGTGAGAAATTATGTGCTAGCTCCACCTTTACAGATAAATATATATTTATATATTTATGTAATGGCTCGAGGGAAGAAGTGGGATGGGTGCGTGGGTATGGACGACATACCAGAGAGGAGGATGGCAAGTGCAGATATTTTTTGTTGATGCCTATGTGAAGAGAGTGATGGTGGCAGTTGCTATTGCAGATGAACCAGAGACTGAGTCATGTGACTTTACCTCTTACTCCTTAATAATCATTGTATCTCACTTTCCCTTGTAGGGGAGGGAAACACATCTCCAGTGGAACCACTGTTGGTGAGTCAAGCCTCACCAGTTCGTAGAACCAGTCTGTAGCTCCAAAAGTTTGTCTTGGTCTGTTGCAGCTTTTCATCAGCAAGGAAAGAAAGGAGACATTCGGGGGGAAGTTGCAACTAATGAATCAGGTAACACAGGTAATATAAATGCTTTCAGAACTTTGAATGCTCATTTTCCACTTCCACTGCTTTACCATTATTCTTTTACTGTAACAAACAGTGCAAACCGTTTTGTTGTCTTTTCTGAAAGCCTACAGTAATCTCAAGTGTTGGACCTTATCTTAAGGAAGGTTGGTTTCAGCACACAAATGTGGCTGGCACCCACTTGTATCATTTTTTGATTTTCTTTCTTGAGTTACAACAGAAGAGAAAAATTAAAAATAAATGCATGAACTGGCAATTAATGAATGCTGAATAAGTTTTTGCTCTAATGTTACAAATACCATGACATGTTACATTAAATTCTTGCTAGGTTTTATGTCTTTGGAAGGAGAAAAGTGAAAAAAAGAGTTGAAAACAGAAGAAAAAAGTTCTTTACACAGTTGGAGGCAATATTGGCAACCTCACAGCTGCACTGTTGATGTTGCTGTAGATACTGTTTCGGCATTCTCTAAATATGGCAAGAAAACTTGGATTTTCAGAAGTGAATTGTCATTCTGATCATGACTTAAATCAATTCTCTTTCTTTTTCCCCTTAAAAAAGCGCAAGATTTTCCGATGCTAGGAATTAACAAAGGAGCTGAACTTGACACTTTCTGTTAAAGTTTCTCTGAAGTTTGATCTCTATGAACGTTTAACTGTGTTCCCCTGGACTACAAATGAAGAGTTGTATTGAATTTTGAGTTAAGACAAGATTTTTGAGCATAGAGAACAGACATTTGTAAAGCTTCCCATGAGGCCAGATGACTTCATATTTGTTTGCACAGCCCTTCTGTTAGTTTCTTTCAGAGTGCATTCTAGTACAGCTTGTGTCACATAACAAAGAGTGGGTTAGAAAGGAAAATTGTATTTTGTCCTATAAATGTATTGATAGTTACACCAAGGTAACTGTGGTCTGAGTTGGGTTTTTTTTCCTGTTTTAACATGCAGTCCGCAACAAAGCCAATATTTATGTTTGGCTGTGGTTGATAATATTTTGTCTGTATGATGAAAAATGTAGTTTAAACTGAATCAGCTATAAGTTTCCAAAGTAGGAACTGCTACTTTGTAGTATAAATATTTTGATGCTGCAAACATGTTTCTCAGTGTATTGCTTGTCTTTGGCAGAAGAGCAAGCACTCTTACAAGAAAGTATTTTTAGCTCTGATTAAAACAATTGCTTTGTACTCTCTGAAGCTTGCAATGATCTGCAGTGTTAACATTTGCTCTTTGTCTTTTCTTTCTTCTCTTAGAAACAAATTCTTTGCTTTTGACTTGGCACTTTGCTGCTGCTCAAAATACACCGCCCAAACAGCCCAGTGCATGAGCTCTAGGGAAAGGATTTTTTAAAGGGCCTAAGTAAGCTAGCTGCTTTTTGGAAAGCATGAGCCTTGATCAAATCTGCCTCTGACTAAATGGTTTGCCTTTGGAAGCATCCCAACCTTTGATAGACCTCAGACAGTACAGACCTTTGCTGTAAAAATCTAGGGGTAGTTGCATACTTAAACCCTTAGGGTTGTATTTTCTTCTGTATACCTGTGAAGAGGTTAAGTGACCTGATGCTCTCAGAGTTATTATGGTTGGCTGTGGAAGGACAGAAATAGTTTCATTCTAATAGAGCATATATTTTTCTTACCATAGTGTTGATTCTATTCTGCTGTTTAGCTTTCAGAAACCCCATCTATTCAATAAACCCTGAAGGACTTCAGTATCCAGTAGGCTTGTTTATAAGGAGAAGATACTTTGTCTTCCACATTCATGTGAACAGAAATAAGGCTCTGAAAATCAAGCTTTTCCCTTCTCTAACATTGTCACTAAATAAGTTTTTTATAGACATAACTCGTGATTTTTTTGTCCTTCATCATGCTTTTACACATAACTAAGTTAGAGTTGGGTTAAATGCAGGTTAAATTGGGTGTGAATCTTGTCCCAAGCCACTCAATTGACCTGATGTTACACAATCAGAAGCAATTGCAGCCTGGCAATGACTTCAAGTTCCCTGAAGCAAATTTTCTGTTTTAGGCAAAGAATAAATAGGCTTTAGTTCTCCCCTTTAAGGACCCCTGCTCTGTAACATTGAATACATAGATGATCTCTTCCCATTTCCCAAACTGATATGTCTATAGTGTATCATTGCTGCTAGAACATTTCTGTTTCAGTCAGAGACTGTACAACTTGACAGAGAACTTACTTGAGAAATCTATCTACAGAAACTGCTAAAATTAACTTTGTGTACAGCAAATGAACTGCAGCAGTTCTTAGTACATAGCAAAGAAACCTTGTGAACAGAGGCAAGAATTTTGGTACAAGATTCATTATCAATATCTTCCTCTTTTATGGATTATTTCAGTGTATTTCATTTGACTAAAAGGTTGAGCTGTGACCTTTGGTCTCTGAATCTATATGATACTTAGTAAGAATACAGTTACTGAGATAGGAGTAACTATTGCACTTCAAAGCTTCCTTGCTCCTTATTCCCTGTGGTCCTCTTTCCTTTGCATTTTCTTTCACTGGCGCCTTTGGTTTATGGGAACTTCTTAGAGAATATTCTTACTGCACCTGAAATATGATGCCCCATTCAAAACCAGGGTTTCATTGTGCTGCACATACTGATTGAGGAGAACTATTTGTTTAAGAAGTTCTGGTAAGAGCCTGTCAGTGCTATGTTGCTTAGAAGCTCATATGAGGTATGTGAGCTTCTAAGCAATATTGAATTTGCTTCAGTGTTGCTTAGAATGATGCTCAGGTCAAAGCATTTGACAAAGATCTGCTTCTTTCAGAATTCAGACTTCTAAGCAACATTGAAGTTGAAGTTATTGATATTCATGTTTACTGATACAGGATTGTGGCGGTTTTGACCCATCAGTAAACATGAATATCAATATCAATAAAAACTGACCACTATTGAATTTCTGCAGCAGCTCCTTTTTTGTTTCAAATAACAAACCAGTGACACCTGAACCTCTTTTCACGATAATGCTAGTGTATTACATTTATGCTTGAAGTTTCATTTTTTTCTCCAGAGATTTGGTCAGCTCTCCATGGACTCAAAGATGAC